CAAACTAGCCCCTCCGTATTACCCCAAGCGATCATTTAACTCTTGAATGCACAACACAGGTTCGTACAAGCACCCCTCTGGACCTCCTCCCTCCCCCGCCAACCAACACAATGGAGTGACAACCAGAAGAGAACTAGGATCAAATAGCTCATTCCAGCATACATCAACCATGGACAAGGACCCCTTGGGCGGTGCGGCAGGCAGTGTCTGTATAAACTTACAATGCACAGTCCCAAGGGGAGTGTGCAAATGGCTGGGCGCTATGAAAGCGCCTAACGGTGAACGTGTGCGAGCTGCAGAGTTTTGAACCCGCAACTTCGTCATACCACGATGCACATTCCAGCCAGTGCTCTTGAGCCACCAGGCAACTCGCCACCTTGTTTTTATTTATTTTTTTCCCTGCGACACCGTGGTAACTGGCAGGTACGGACCGGATAGTGGAGATGGGTACTGGTGGTTTAAGTCCCAAACAGAAGGAGATGATATTTTTGTTTTGGATCAACAGAAACAGGCATTAGCTCAAAAGGGTCTAGAATCCAAAGGGGTAGCCCGTTTTAAACCCGTTTTAAACTGAAGTCCTGTAGATGTACTCGAGGACCTAGTTGTCAAGATGGCATGGTGTCTCCGGAGAGCCTCAACACCATAGAGGCCTTCTGATGCTGAGATTGCACCTACTGTTAGAGAACAGCAGCACACGATAATTCAAGTTCGTATCAGTTTCTCGCAGGGTCCATATTGCATTAGTTCGCACCGACATCCCCTTTGCATTTGTCCGTCCCCTGCCATTCCCTGCGTTTGCATCAAATGTATTATGCACTCAGAAACTGAAAATCATATCAGAAGAACCAAAAAAGGGTACCTGGAAGCTACTCGGACGTTGTACTCCTTTGCTGGATGGTAGAACTCAGCAAGACCCCAGTCAATGAGCCGAAGCTTCCGCTGTTCATGGTCAATCATCACATTGTGCGGCTTCACATCCCTGTGCATGATTCCTTGCGAGTGGCAGAAATCCAACGCCTGTACAGGTAAGAGACAACAGACTGGGAATGTCAGCCGCACCATGCAAATCTGCCCCATACACGCCGACAAAGACCACACTCTACAAAAAAATGATTCCAGAGGGCAAGAAGGCCGATTTGTACACAGAATGCGCCAAATGGCAGTATATGTCTTCTTCAAGTGTCCGAGTCTCATGCACTAGTTGGTTTTGCACCTGCAGAACTGGGGATGCCATTCTCCCTCCCCTGGCAGCCAACCACCTCTCTCTCTCTCTCTCTCTCTCTCTCTCTCTCTCTCTCTCTCTCTCTCTCTCTCTGTGTGTGTGTGTGTGTGTGTGTGTGTGTGTGCAACTCGTCACTGGGAACCATCTGTACACAATCTACCAACTGAGAGCATACTCACACTAGGACTCTTTTGACTCAGCTCTTGATGTAATCTCTATACCTTATAAAAACTGCAACGGGCCCACTGTAACGGCAGACGCCGGGCCCAGCGGGAACTGCACGACGGGAGCGAGGCGAGGAGGCAGCCCCGCGGCGCAGGCAAGTTCAAGGCAGTCCCATTCGGGCGGGGTGTCGCGGTGCACGGCGCTTTGGAGGCGGTCCCGTTCGGGCGGGGTATCGCGGCGCGTGTCATTTTGGCGCATTCGGCCAGCGTCCCGCAGGCGGCCGCGTCGCCTGTTGTTTCGCCGAGCGCGCGGCATTGGTTTGACGCCGGTCGGCACACACACACACACGAACGATTCATTCCGATTTTGCTATCCTATCGATGGAAGTAACATGACGCGAGCCACGAGGTTGGAGATTTATCGGCTCTCTCTCTCTCTCTCTCTCTCGCTCTCTCTTTCTCTCTCAC